CACTCATCTTAAAGTGGCCAAGTTTGGACAACACTGACCTAGATGAATACTCCAATCCTCAGTACTCAGAGGTAAAATCCATTGAGTTCAGTGGTACTTAAACTTATAATAATCCATTTATCTAAAATAAGCACTTTGAACTCAAAGGGATTTACCTCTGAGTAAACATATAGATTGAACATATTGTTAACTAATTCTGAATTCCGAAATAACTATTTATATTCTCATTAATAAACTATTTTGATTTTTACGACTGTGCAGTTTGGAAATCTTACAGTATAAAAATTAAAATCTTAATGCTAAATAATCATGTAACATACTTACCCAAAATAAGGATTTTAAATTCAGAGACTAAACTTCTGAAGCATAAATCTCAATCCTATAACTTCAATCTCAATCATTTGAACACCAAATAATTAAAACACCCTGCTATAGGGAATTATAAAAGCCACACCATCTTATAGCAGGGGTGGGCAAAGCTGAGGGACATACCGCTCTCAGCAGCCCAAAGTTGTATCATCAAAGTTCAACAACAAATAGCCACCTTGGTAGTGGCCATTTGCCTTATTCACTTACATCAGTCCCATGGAGGTAGATCCCTTAAGGATGGTTTATATAGTGATACTTAGATACCTCCCAAAAAAGGACAAAACAAATCTAGCAAATTATCACCTATTAGGTGGATTGGTATCAGCTGTACACTGTATGCAAGCTTTCTCTGGCAAAAGCTTCTGGCTTGGGAGGAGTCAAGTGTTCCATCCTACAGGCAGGATTTGAGGGAATAAATACCTTGCACTATTTGATTTGGAAATTACTTGAGGAACCATCCGGGTGCTTTTATGTGGTACGTATTGATCTGTAGTGTTTAACTTGGTGGACAGAGCTAGATGATGGGGAAAGTTGATAGCCTCAAACATGAACAGAAGACGGATGGCTCTGACCTATATAAAAATTACAATGGTATTTTTATGCAAGGGCATATAGATCAAGCCAATAGATTTATAGGAATAATTACAACAAATAGGGAAATGCAGCAGAGTCGTATCCTAGTGCCATTTCTCCCCCATCCCCATTTTTCCACCAACTACTGGCCAAGGTAGCTATTCTGTTATATGCAGATGATGTGGCTTTCAACTACACAGCTTGTTGTATGCAGACTTTTGAAAATCCTGAGCAAACTGTAGATTACAGCCACTTGTAATTAATTATCTGTCGGTGGGAAAAGAGGACAGGAACTCTCCAGACCCACACACATAGTCCTTTAAATTACTGCAGTGTTTACGGTTACAGTGCTTCTCCAGCAAATATTTTAGGTTGATTTCTAATATATGCATTGTCCTTAACATACCACATTGCTCATTTATATACATTAATTTCCATACAGAGTTTTAATTATCTCACTCAAATTGATGTTTCATATCATTACTTTGGTTGGGATTCCAACCCCTTGGTCAAGCTTTCCTCTCTGACTCCCAATGTGTCCTTTCCAAATGCTTCACTCATTTTCCACCAGCCAGTCCATTCTACAGATCTCTCTTTGATCCCCAGTTGCAGATTCCCTCCTTCCAGAGATAGTTTCTCCAACTGTTCCTTGATTCACACAACACCAACAGCCCACTGCATTTGCCCTTACATATCTCCACTAAAAGCAAAATGTGCCTGTTCATGGGTGCCTTTAATTAGGCAGAAAGCTTCCAAATCTCTATGTGACTCTTTACATAGCTTTGGAAAAGACAAACATCTTGAACCTCAAGATTACTTTACATTCCTGACCCGATCAGGCATCTCACCCTGCCCCTCTACCCTAAAACCAAGGTTTTTTTTTTTTTTTTTTTACAAAAGACAAACATAAACGGTTTCTTGATGACAATGTACTGGAACAAGTAAATTCTTTTAAATACCTTGGTATTTACCTTTCCCAGTCACTGCTGTGGTCTCCACTCATAACTGATGCTAAAATGATGGCCATGTCCCAAAGGCTAAGGGTGGAGACTCCATCATTGATATTAGGGGTGAAGAGAGCCTGAAACATATCAGTGCAGCTACATGGTCTGTGGTATACATAATCAGAGTGACAATAGCAACATTTTTCATGGTCAGAGCCACAGTTGAACAAGCCTGGGCTCTCCTCCCAGCACGCCCAGTAGAAGCAAGATACCTGTCAGGTTCAGCCCAAGAAACTCAGTGGGACAATTCAGGAATAGTTCAGTTACTTTATTAGCTTACGCCTACTAGACAGAATCTTGCCAAACTAACTCTAACCCCCAACGACAGCAACTAAACACTCTGAATTCCTTAGGGTGGTGCAAGTCTCATCCTCTTAGTTTTCACATGCTCAGGCTGTGGGCTGAGGAGATGCTTGAGATTCCTCTCCCTATGACCTTGGACCTCCTCACTCAAGTCTTCCATCACAACACCTGACAAAACAGCTAAACAAGGTGATTTGTTCCATTGACACCAGTCAATTCTCAGCCATCTCCATGGCATTCCCACTATTTTCATACTCCCCAGAGTGACAAACAGTGCAAGACTGGTAGAGGGCTGGATACATCCCTAAACAGATCATTCTCAAAATCCACTACTGACCTCAGAAACTGTATTTCTCAGATCTGATGGAGAGGCAAAACCATGGCCTACGAAGCTGGTCAGATATCCTGTCCTAGGGTCAATCCCTAGCTTGACCTATGTGAATGAAAGCTGAATGGCTTCTGTATAGCTGTCACCCTAACCCAGTAGCATCTCTCCTTGAAGTGAGTGGCTACCACAAAAAACTTCTTGACAGCCTGGCAGATTTTCCAGAGTTGGTGCAGAAGGTAATGACAGACTGATCCAGCAAAAATTCCAGAATCTTGAGGTTTATTTTATCGGGGCCGCAGAGGGGGTTGTTAGCAAATAAACTACAGATACAAGCAACTGCATTCAGCTCTTTCTTTCAAAGACCGATTTGGATAACTTTCATATTGGATTTACAAAAGAGTCTTGTTAAAGTTTTGAAGGATCTTGTGAGAAGGGACAAAGAAAAAAATGAAATCAAGTTCTAGGACAGTATTTGAAGGGACTAAAGTTCAAGATTGTTAGAAGTAAAAGGAAGGAATATAAAGTTGGTTTATTTGCTCAAGGTTAAAATAGGTATGTTATCTCTGGTAACCCTTAATGGACTTTTGCTGACATCAGGACTGAAATGACATGGCTTTATGGATTTGTTTATAGATAAGAGATGGAATATGGGAAGAAGAGATCATTTGTATTTTAAGAGAAGGTGATAAATTACTAAAATTGTTTATATTTGCTATGAAGGGGGAAGTCATTTCTTTATATACTTCTTTTTCTTTACTATATTCTTCTTTTTGCTTTTCTATTTGTCTTTTTCCTTTTCTGCACTTCCTGCACTTTTCTCTTTTTTCTTTTAGTTTACTTTGTATTAGGTTTTACTATGCTTATTAAAAACTTTAATAAAATTATTTTTTAAAGAAAGAAGTTCTGTAGCTATTCAATCTGATATTTGCCTTTAATTCCTGTTAAATGAGGCACAGCCAATAGGGCTTATAAAAGTAGATAGACCATATTTTATTGCAGTACGTAAAAATTATTTCATTAGAAGACTGCTGCACAATAATATATGTGGAGAAGACAATATCGTCCATGTCGATTTGCCAAGTGGGCTTCAAATATCCATTTTCTGGCAAAAGAGAGTGAAAGATACGTAAGATAGTTGCAGCAGCGTCACTTTTTCACGTATCCTCCCTTCCCTGCCTATGCATGTGCGGCTGCTCCGTAACTGATTCATTCTGTGTCATCAAGCCGGCGTCGACTGTTAGCGGTCAGATAGATTTCTCCAGGCTGTAGGAAGGTAGAAATAGCGTATTTTCCTTACTGCCGTATCGACATCACTTTTCTTCAATTTCCTGGATTTCACTATCGTTTCCTCACGCTAATTCTCATTGGCTGTCCACCTGCTGTCTGAGGAATTCTGGGAGTTGAAGTCCACACATCTTAAAGTTGCTGAGGTTGAGGAACACTGACGTAGATGAGACAAACTGAGCGTCTTCAATTTTTTTTATCTCTATGAAGCTAAATCCGGAGCCTATTATTAGGTCACTTCCGCTCTCTCCCTTCTCCTTTCCGTCGCGGTCCTGCTGACGCAACAGCAGTATTTAGTTCTGCGTGAGCTGGCGCGCCTGGTAGCGTCACCGTTGTGGGAGAGGTGATTGCTTTCAGTCTAGCTCCGGCTCAGTTGGGATCCCCCGCTCGGCCTCGTCAGCCGAGAAGGACACGGGGGCCTGGGCGCTGCCGGGCTGCCTTCGGTCGCCACCATGATGAGGCGCAACAGGGCGGAAGTCGACCGCTATGTTTCCTCCTTGCAGGCCTCGGCCCCTTCGCCGAAGGAGGTAAGTGAGGGAAGTCGTGGGGGCGGGTGCTTTCCGTCTCTCCCCCCCCGTTCTTAAGACGTTCAAAGACGGCCGGTGATTGGGTTTCCCGGCGGCCTGTTTCGGAGCTGTCCAATTAATGGACGAGCTCCGGCATGTG